AAGATCACTGCCAGGATCACCTGATTTAGAAAACATAAAAAATAGTAYGTGTGCCCTGGTATCAGTCCTGAATACTGTGGTATTTTGTATAAGTACTTGTGAGAATGCTGGTATTGGTGCCTGATACCAGTATCAGATTATAGGGGCATCACTCTCCAGTATCAATATTTACATTACTAAAAAAATTGGTATAACTCAGTTGSTTTTACAGACACTGAGCTAGAATGTGATGTGGTAGTAATTGARTCATCCACAACACACACTGAGTGTGACATGGCATAACTTTTTTAACCAGAACAATTTTTAAACACAAGAATGTCAGAGTGTAAAATTTATCAAAGGCAGCAGGCAATATGCATTCCTTCAAGGCTTGATAATATCTTAATTACTTGTAGTGGTTCTTTCTAWATTTTTACTCTTATACTTAAAAAATCTTATTGTTGTTCAGCATGGTGACAAAATACCATCTGTTAAATTGAGCAGGCTGGGATTAAATACATGTTACCCCCTGTGTGTTCACAGACTTATCCTTTAACGCTTGCCCTGCAGAGGCTTTACTCCACAGCAGACTGGACTCATCTAAAMTCCTCTCAGACGTTTCTCATCAAACATACACACAGAGCATAAAACTCACAGTTTTCCTTTTTATTGTCACTTAGCCTTTTATCAAAAAAGAAAAGGAAAAGAAAAAAACATTGACGTTGTCTACATCACAGACAAGAATCATCAATATTTTGCTTTAAACATTTTTTTTGCCAAAAACAGAATGAACCCCCTCCCCGTCCTCCCCCTCCCCCAAGCACTTTATACATAGTAAACTTTACAAACCTCTGTTCTTCTTTTACAGTTTCATCATTATCAAAGTAGGATCATTTGCTTTTAAAATACACACACTGCTCTCCCTTCGTAACGCTCGTTCCAGTCCTGATTGTAAACACAGTATCGTTTCCCACACTTAGAGCTCCTTGATTTATTTAAACAGTTATAAAATATTCAGAGGCACACATCTCTGTTTTCCACCCAAACAATAAAAAAAAAATTCCTCAGCAGGGTCCAGATGACCAGAAGCTTTCTTTCGTATCAAATCTCAGCAATGTGAGCAGAAACGGCAGATTTGCAGTACTTTACAATAATACTTATCCCAGTTTGTAAGTTTTCTTTGTGCGCTCTTCRTCCTCTGGGGCAGGGGGGTTACAGTAACACCAACTGTTGCGTCTGCTCGGATTTGAGATTACAGTCTGTCTCGTTAAGCCCCAATTAAAAGAGTTTCCCAGCAGAAATAACAACAAGATTATATAAAAAGGATCTCTCTGAGACAATAAAGGTGGAGCTACTCCACTTGTTTGAGTGGATTTGTTGACACTGTCAAGTTTACGGGACTGTGTTCATTAATATGTGGTAACATTTAAAGAAAATGACTGGGGGCGGAGCCTGAGGGGTGGGAATTGCCAACCCTGGCGCCTCACTTGGACACCCCCAAAAAACTGACAAGTGGGTTAGAATTTTGTATTTTGTATTTGCATTTAGATTTTGTTAAAAATTGTTCGCTGATAGTAYACATTTTCAGCTGTGAATGTTTAAAAATKGCTGAAATATAGTACTTTGTAAAATTAGCATATGTATTAGTTTAATTTGGGATTAGCTGTGGAGTTTTCAAATCCAGTGTTTTTCTTTATTTGTATGAGCCCACCTAAGAAAATAACTTGACCACCCCTGTCTGAAAATGACTGACTGTTTTTAGTTACAATTAGTATTTGATTTGTGGCAAAAGTGGTTCCAAATGTAAGAACACAAAAGTTAACACTCATACAGCTTAATTTGGCACCAGATTGGAGACCTTTAGGTCAATCTGTGAAGAACCTCTGCTCTCAGGAAAGTAAACTACGTGTACGGTCATTTAAAAATAATAAAAAATTTAAAAAATCTCATTATAAGTATAAGTGTGCGAGTGCACGTTACAAACCTAATTGATAAATCTAAATGTGGGAAAAGCTATCAATGTGAGAAATACAACAGAAAAGCCTTTTATTTTGTTRTTTTTTACCCTGTATACAGACAGCCAGAGCCCTGCACGCAGTTTGGTTCCACATTGCATCTACAAAAATACAGTAAACAGGTTTTACTTTATATATCTGCAACCGACACGTTGTAAATTATTGTACAGTCTCAGCAATGTCACAATGAGGCCAGATCTACCAYCAGTCAAAGCACAACCATTAAAAAATACATATTTTTAGTTTGAATTTTTTAAAAAGGAAGAACGTTTGGTTTCATTCCAAATTTAATAAGTTTTATTTTGGTTATGTGGTTGTTAAGTGAAAAAAGTGGAACTTTCTGAGTCAAATTYAAGTGTTCTAATTATTAAATTAAAATTTTGGCTGTGGTAGGATTAAGTGGAAAGGTTACAAACAGTTAGTGTCCTACCTGTTGAAGGTAGGATTGCTCTGTGAACAAACTCAGGTTGAATAAATAGAGTTTAATTCTGATCTGACTGACAAGTATACTAGTACTGGTACTCTAATAAGATACTCTAATACTATACTATACCCTGTGAAAATAGGGGTTTTACTGTATTTACTCATACTCGGTTTTAGAAAAACCGGTATTGGGACATGCCTAGGCTGAAGTTTATTTTAAAAATAATTGCACAGCAAAGAATTAATGGAACAAACACAAATCTATTACTTTTTGTGCTATGAGGTGACCTTTTTTGGGGTTTATGTAAAAGATTTTAAACTCTATTTCTCCAAACTTAGGTCATACAAGGAGCTATATACAACAAGTATTCATAACCTGTCCACAGAACCCCACTTTACAAGATTGGAACCATGGCTGATAAATAATGGAAAATAATGAAGAGGTAATGGATGTGAAGACCKGGTCCCAAGGGCTAAAATAATATTTTTTTAGAAAACAGCATGGTTCATGATTTCAAACATTAAAGTTTGTTTAGATCAGCTGTTTGCCACCATCTTCCTTCATTTGAGATTAAAAATAATCTAAAAAGTAAAAATGAATTAACACCGTTACAGAGTTAACTTATTTTTATATATACAAAAGTAGTTGCAGAATGAGGGGAAGTTAAAGTAGATATAAATAGGACTCAACATGAAAGTCTACACACTTTAGAATTATACAAGTTTGTTTTTTAGGCCACCTGTTGCACCCGTGACCATCAGACATGGYGAACAAGTTAAATAGAGAAGGGAAAGTCGGATCACACACCAACAAATAATCGAAGAAAAAAAATGTAAACGATAACCCTATTTTTTTCTTTCTTTTTCTTGACAAAGCCAAAAACAAACAAATGCATGTGCTTACAATGTGGCTCAAGTGTTAGGCACTGCAAATAAAACTCAAACATTTTTTTTTCTTGTCTCTGATAAGGCAATCTGATTGACTGGTTAATGGCAGCAATGTTCATTTTCTGCTCGGTCCTCTGCGGCTCAAAGTTTGCACAAATTTAGAAAAAGAAACAGCTTTTTTATCATCATCATTATTAATATTATTATTTTTTACCCCATTTTCACAACCCATTTTAGGATCACCTGTGTAAAAACAGCTACAATCAAAAATGAGGCACTTTATAAAAGAGTATATAGATATCTAGGCTATATAGTATTAATCATCATTTGTATACTGTATATTTTATATACCATTGTAATGTGTCACTTTATAATAAAACTGTTAAGTGAATGAGGAGAACTAACCACAGTAYATACTATAGTTTCTGTCATTCTACTTGCATTACTATAGTAGATACCATAGTGTAATRTACAGTAGGAATAGAAAAAACTCAGATGCACAAAATAAGCATTTACACATTTTCCTAATGATTTTGTGTTACTCATTTGTTTAATTGTTACAAACTCTTAAAACACACAAATTATTGTTTTGTTTCCTTTTTGTATTCTCTCCTAATGGGCCAGGCTTTTTGACTCACACATCCGTTATGCGTCAGAATTATCTCATATACTGTTATTATGCCAGAATCTGGAAGTGGAGAATAATGCAGCTCTCACTCTGTTTAACATAATAGGTGGGTTGTTTGGGCTTGTTTCACTTTGTGAGGTAAGATTTTATTTTGGAGAACTGTGTTAAAATATCACAAAAACGCTGGAACAAAATATGTTTAGTTTGGCTGCAAAGTTCTCAGCAGATCAACGTGAGGACATTTACACACAGAAAAGCTAAATATTATAATTTCTCTTAATTATTCCATAACTATATCAACCAGCGGTGGGCATGGTTCTGCTAATCAGATAACAAATAACAACGAAACTTTTTTTTGTTTAGTGGATTGGCTTTTTCACTAACTTTGAAAACGGTTAGCGGATCAATTAGCTTCAGCTAAATTAARTTTTGCCAACTTTAAGTCCGCTAACAGCTAAACAACAAGCTTTGACTAATTTCTTTACAAGTATAGTGGCTTTACATTAACAAAGCTATACTTTTAGTTAGCTGTGCCCACTGGCAGCAACAAGGATGGTTCAGCTTTTAGGAGTGCTTATTAAARACAAAACAAATTTTATTTGATTTGGTCTGACTCACTCTGAAAACACTAGCAAAGGGAGATGTGTGCCACAAACTATGCTGCTAATCCAAGAGCATGTCTCTGGGTTGGTTGCATTTAAATGATGATTAAAGACTACATTTAGAGAAAAATATTGCCATATTTAGGGATGGAGGTAAAACCTTTTCTTAGATACATTGCATTGTGTACATAGAAGATTCAGTGTTTGAAAAATGTCAGAAATTGATTTTGATAAGTCAATATGGCTGTAAAAAATGCTAAAATTGTAACATAATGATATTTGATTTGTGTATAATTTTCAATTATAAATCCAATGCTAATTGTGGTAGCATTTCTATGCTATTTGCATTACTAAAACAGCATCTATGCTAATTCTTATTTATGCAAAATTAGCCATAGTCACCTAAGGTTCCAGTTAATCTAAATGTATTGATAATCACTTTTTGGAATCACATTGCTGCAATAGGAAACATAACATTGTAACGTGACGAAAGAGCCCCACCCATATTTATTTAAATAAATGTCAGACCTCAAAGTGTTCATGTCTCAAAGCCCAGTGGTTTGTTACGACATTTATTGTTCCACTTGGAACTGCTGGTATTTGTATCTTGATAGTGAAAACAGAGGAAAAGGGACTATTTTCTGCACTGTTGCCTTATAGTATAATTAGTATAATTCATCCTCTCCTTCAGTGATGACTGTTGGAAATTGTTCCAGCTACAAAAAAAAGATGTCATAAATGTTTGGAAATTCATGTGAGTAACACAAGAACAGTAGCCAAGAAGTAGAAATGTTTTTTTGTGCAACTTTCTATATATATATAGGAATTTAAAACTGTTTACAGTGGGATAGTGTGTATAAAATCTGTCAACTTGTACTTTTCGTAGTTTAAGTCAAAATGACACCTGATGATCATTTAATTTGCGTACAAAGGAGGAGGAGACATAAAAGGCAATAAATACCAGAATAAAAACACTAACTCCCTAAATTTGGCTGAAATTTTGTCWCTAGAGCAGCTGCCATTTCCTGTTTCACCCTCCTCACCAAATGTCAACAAACTGGCTCACTCGCAGGATAACTTAAGATTCACAGATGTATTTTTTGCCTTTTKTGCCATTCCCTGAAAGTTGTATTAAAATAGACGTGCTGAGGATGTTTCAGAGAGGAGCAGCAATCAAACACAGTGTGTCTGAAGTCATGCCTCGGCTGTACAGAGGTAAACAAAAATCAAATGTCATTTTTAGTCAAACAAGGTACAGGAACAAAATTTTTACCTTATGTTTTGTGTGTTTGTGTCTGTGTGTGTGTATGTGTGTGTGTGTTTGGCACACATTTGGTTGACAGAAAACAGCAGACAGGATGGGGATGAGACTTCCAGGGGTTTCCGGCTCCGGTGTTCAACAGATCGGGCTGCTGGACGTCCCTAACGCGGGTCGAGCCGTCTCACCATCGTCACGCTCGCGCACCGGGGACGAAGATCAACAGTCTGGAATGAGCAAATCAAAAAGCAAGGAGGGAATTTTAYACACAGACATTTATGATATAAAGATTTCTCTTCGTGAATGCTGCTAAAACTGYGTTCTGCAGAACCTCTGCTGCACACATTCTGTCAGGATGAAACGCTCGCCTCAGCAGCATATTGATTGTGTTTAATCTATGTTCCTTCTGGCAGCGTGAGTAAATATCACATGACGCTTGATATCTTTGTGGAAGGATTTGGTGATCGCTCTCTCGGCTATTGTTGCAGATGTCAATAAGATGTGTCTCTGCGACAGCTTTATCACTTTCAGCCGTGGTTTTCTCCTCTTTACGAGCCTCCTTAACAACACAGTGTTGCTTCTGATCAGGTCAGCAGAACACAGCCGTTTGAGGACAAAGTTTAATATAAAAACTGTGACCACTCTTGTTCTAATCTACTGCCATAAAGGGGAGGGTGATAATATGATAGCCTGTGTATGTTAATTTGTCTGTCTGTAAGCAACATTACTCATAAACCGTTGGATAGATTTAGACAAAACACAGTGATAATTAAACGTGCATCTATAGCTGAATAATGTTTGGAGCTGACGTGATTGAAGATGGCCACCACAGCTAATCAACTTATGCAAATATAAAACTGTTTCTTACACAGTCAATTTCACAAATTCTGACCWAAAATTTGCTGTGGTAGTAGCTGAGAGTAATCTGCACTTCATACTCTGAGCCAGGGTCGGTCCTAGGCAAGATTTCAGGTGGCGCTTCTTGTGCAATTTTCTAAATCTCACTGCCAATTTCTATTCATTCACATACCAAATTAAGTAGATATGTTTTTTATTTTTTTTATCTTCAAGAACCAGGTTGTCCAATTAAAACAATTAATATAATTAATTTGAAACAGAATACCAGAAGTATACCTCATACCTGCCAACATCTGCTGACACCAATGAGGAACACCTGTTCATGTTAATGAGCAGCTGTGGAGTTAAGCAGTTCTAGGGGGGTTCAGGTTGTTACTCCCCAAGAAAATTTTGTAAAAGATCCAGTCAAAACTATATATTTTTCCAGCTATTTGAAAATCCAGATCAGTTTCACAAAATACATTCTTCCGCGCAATATTTACATTCAACATCACATTTTTTCAATAAAAATGTGTCTTTACATGCAGAAGAAACTGTTTCCACTGTCATCAGCAGCAAGAGCTTTAACCGTTTAATAACATCACGTATGCAATGTGAAGGAAACCAYAAAGCTGCCATCAGCCCGCCCACACATAAACATAAACACCTGGCCCATCTTCTTGTCCCCTATGTCTTCATTCATGTGAAATGGCTCATTACCGGCAGACAAATCAATTGGCTCTGCTGTCTGAACGCCCACTTGTGATAATAAGAGACTCTACAGACAGCCTACAGACTGAGAGCTCCGCGCTGCCCACCAGGTCTGTGCTACATCAGGACACCATGAGAGGAGGAGTGACTAAGACCCAGAYGAGGATTCATGTCTGAAGGGTTTTTCACATTGTGTCAAAGCTTGAATCCAATTTGACTATTTTTTTCACCTATTTATAAATAATATTTCTATCACATTGAGAAGAGCAATTGCTGCTTATTTCGATTATCCATTTATGAACTTCGTGCATCATCCTTTATTGTAACTAAAGCAAAATTAAATAAAGGATATAAGTGTTTGGTAGGTTATTTTTTTGTTCTAACAATGCTTCTTTGCAATAAATCTTATACCATTAGAAAGCCTGTTAATTTCTCATTTAAATGGTGCCACATTTGTAAGGAACATCCATTGGTGGGATGAATATACAGCATCTTTGGCAAACAGCTTTATTTGTTGTTGACACGTTTTGAGTTTCAGCTACCCCCAGGTGTTGCCAAGGTGCCCGGTGTAAGATTTATTGCCAAGAAGCATTGTTACAACAAAGAAATAATCTACCAAACACAAMCGTCCTTACTTTGTGTGCTAAGTTCATAAATGCATGAGGACAAAGCCTATAGGTTGTGTCAAAGCTGTTTTACTATCTACCATGTACGTGGTTTTTTATGATTAACTGTTTAAAGTCTTGCAGCACTCACCTTGACCATTTTTTCTACTGTTCTGGTTTGTTCTAAGCTCCTCCGACTTGTAGAAATCAATACTGGCGTAAGTGTTGGGTACAGAGCCAGCACCGCTCCCCAGAGAGCTTCCTCCAGCTCCGTAGACCGGAGAGGTGTGCTCCCCTCCAGCTTGAGGGCCCTCCTTCATGGCTAGGTCAAGGTCTATATAGTTAAGGCCTTGTTCAGTGGATGAGGCGGAGGCTTGGGGTGGAGGTGTGGCAGACAAACCAGCAGCCTGCCCACTCTCCCACAGTGAGCAGTCCAAACCCTGCCGATGGCTCGCTGCCTGGCTGCCATCTGGGAACAGGGAGGTAGAAGGTGATGCATATTGTGGTAGAGATGGCAGTGAGTGAAATGTCTCTGAGCGGTGGCTCAAGTGTCCCTGCTGGTCGCCTCGGACCAGTCTGCTGCTCCGGTCAGGAGACTGGAAGGACTTGACAGGGGAAGAACCCGAACTTTTCTCCTGCTCTGCAGGTAAGGGTGGACCAGGGTGGATGGCAGGTCTTGCTGGAATGCTGGGGACTGATCCTTTGCTGTCAATAAATGGAGCGGAGACGTCTGCTGGCAGCTTGATTTTCGTCCTATACCCCACGTTTAAGTCCACCGCCAGAGGGGAGGACGTGCTGTGTTCGTGTCTGGCCTTGGGGGCAATGGCTGGTGAGCCCTGAAGGGTGCTGAAGGTGGATCGAACGTGAGTCAGGGGTGTCGAGGATTTCCCTAAGTCCATGTTGACGTACTCGGCAGAGGTGGAAAGTGGCGCAGAGAAACTGCGGGGAAGGTTAGCAGGATTGTCGTGACAGAGGAGTGGTTTATTTGAGGGACGTAGGGTTGCGTGGATAACAGGTTGTCCRTGTTGAGACCTTTCTGACTCGTATTTATCATCTTCCTTAAAGACAATGCTTACGTACTCATCRACACCCTGAGATGCCGACGGTGGGAGGTTCTCCTTCACCCTGGGTAGGGTATTAGCTTTAGTGATGTCTGAAGATGCGCTCAGGGGACGCCCCCTCCTGTGCTGCTTTGGGCTCTTACTACTTGATCCACGTTTTTGGTGGTGACGTCCCTCTTTTGTGCACACTCCTGCACTCATGTAKTCTGTTCCAGTCCTTAATAAACTTAACCCTCTCCCTGCTGACAGAGACTTGTCTTCGAGGCTTTCGCTGCTGGCRGAGCTGGAGGAGAAAGAAGAGGAAGACATGGAGAGTTGGCAGCCGCCCGCAGAGCCCACCGCAGTTTTGTTCCTCTTGCTGTACCCCACTCTCCCTCCCCTTCCAGCGCCTTCATGCCCGCTGCCGTCCTTTGTTTCCTCTGCCTTGTCCAAGTCCTCCTCGAAGCGGGTGTAGAGGGTGTGCTGATAAGCTCGTGGCAGGGAGAAGTACGAGTTGAACATTTTTGGTTGGAGTTGGTGCTGCTCRGGGTGGGATGGCGGCGTGCTGCAGGCGGAGCGGCTGCTGACCGGTGAGATGTTCATGTAATCGCTGGCAGCCCGGCTCTCCATGCTGGCCCTGCTCTCCCACATGCCCAGGCCGTGCAAGTCTGTAGAGCTGCTGCTGTTCGGAGACATGACCATGTAGCCCTCTGAGCTGGGCTGGCGCATGTGCTGAGGAGGGGACACACTGCTGTTGGGGGTCATGGCCATGTACTCGTCGTCTACACCGGGTTTGGCGCTGGCATCATACATACCTATAGACAGAGAGAGGGAAACAGGAGGAGATGTGACTCCAGGCAACATTGACATGTAGCCRCTGTCCAGAGCTCCACCTGCGTCTCTCTCTCCTCTACTTTTGTCGGCCCTCTTCCTGTTTTTTACGACTACGTCCTGCTGACCACCATTACCGGAAGGATTCCCTGAGCCACGGTGCAAATCAGCCCTCTCCCTATTAGCACTCTGCGACATGATGGCATACTCCTCATCATCCTCATCTTCTTCATCTTTCTTACGTGGGGTGAATCTTTCGTGGGATGCCAGAGGCAGGGACGCCCTCTTGCTCAGCASTTGGCGCTCCGCCTCGGTTTCACGGCTAGACGAGCGCCGCAGGATCCGCCGGCCTTTGGAGTGACGGTGAGAACCAAACACTCCCTCTCGCTGCCCCATCACAATGTAGCTGGAGGAGCCCTCTCTGTGGGTGTGATGTCCCGACAGACTGGGTATGAGCAGGGAGTGCTCCCCGGGACTGGAGCCGTACTCGTCCGAGGATCCGTAGTCACTCGGTGAACCTGAAACAGAAACTCTCTGGGAAACACGGGCGTAGGAGCACACAGACATGCCTCCGACGACCGCCCCCACCAGGCCACACTCAGATCCATGACCGGAGCTGGAGGATAGACTTGGTGCGGGAGAGGGAGCAGGGTTAGGCGTGTAGCGTGAAAGGCTCAGTGTAATCTTAGCCGGGGTCGGAGCCCGAGTTGGCTTGGGTCTCAGCGTTGGAGTCGTTGAGCAGGATCCATTCAGACTTGGGCTGGAGCTGGCCCACGTTCCCCTGGCGCTGGCGCCTCCTTCCTCCGACCTGGCTCCGATGCTTGCTGTCCGTGCCCTTGGGAACCCGTGGCGTGATGTAGGCGATGTGCTGGTGCTGCTGCCTCCCGTTCCTGGGGTTTCAGTCCGCGCCCGCCTGSAAAAGCCCACCTGGCTCGGCGGCAGATTTGAGTGATGCCGCCGACTCGGGACGCTGATGGGATTGGAAGCCGTACCGCCACCACACGACGTCCCCACAGACTGAGACTTGCTGCGCTGACGGAATTCCTCGCTCAAGGCCTTCATGGCCTCCAGAAGGGTTTCGTGCATGTTTTGCGCCACCACCGAGTCGTCCACTTGCATCCAGAACTCTCCGGGGCCGGTGATTGCCGAGCGCCCCACCTCGATGAAGAAAAAATTCTCAGAGTGGCCACACCTGCGAACGTTCATCAGCTGCAACACCACGGCGGCCACATCAGAGTTGAGTTTGACAAAGTTGACTGTCTTGTCAGTTAGACAGAGCCGGTATATCCCCACTAAGTTCCTGGCATGGCCAAGACCTTTAGGCCAAACCTTGACCTGCCAAACTTCCTTAAAGGTTGGGATRGGAGATGGAGAACTACACTCTCCACTGCTGCCATAGTCCTCAGGAGTTTTACCTACAAAAACAAGACAATAAACAAAAGATTACATCTTATACAAGAGAATATTCAAAACTTAATGTTTACGCTACACTGAAAATAACAAGGTTCTAAACATTTCCACTTTCTAATTTCATACTTTTATAGACTTAAATTTTGTTCAGTTTTTAGGTCATTGTTGACTTTAAAATGTTTGTTAATTGAATGTAAATGTTTCAGTGTGGGTTTTATTATCTGTATGCTTTAATATTTATCTACAACAGATCCCCTTTTAGAGTCAACCCAAAAGCAGATGGCTGCCACAGCCTCATCCAACAGGAAAAAAGACACTCAGTTATGGAGATAAATTTTGGAGTGGTAGTAGCATAGACTCATTCCAGACTCACACTCCGAATGCTAACAGATCTAACAAAGTTATGTTGGAGCAGGGATAGGCAACTGGCGGTCCGCAGGATGTCACTCAAGGTAGCTCTTAGACAAATCTTTGAAAATTACAAAAATGTATAAAAGTATCTCGGTGGCACTTAATTGGTTGTAATGACAAAGTTTGCCACTAGATGGCACCTAAAATGCAGATTCAGTACCTCGCACAGGACTTTTCTACCAGTGAGGAAGAGATTTTCAGCCAAGGTTATGAACAGAAGAAAGAAAAAATTGGACAAAGAAAATTGATTGTTTCAGATAAAATTGGAGGTAGACTGTCTGTTCACACAATTTCAYGGCAAATCTGTGTGTCTAGTCTGTTTAGAGACGCTGTCTGCCACAAAGTATTTTAATATGTCGCCATTAAAACACGTTGCACAAAGCTAAATATGAGAAGCTTGAAGCTGTRAGTACATAAACAACAAATAGTCTTCATTCAGGGAATGATTGACCTTTAATTAAGCTGAACTATACGTTTAAACATGGCAGCTTGTGAGGGAAAATTTCAATTATGTGCAATGCAAAATAAAAATTAAATATGTCGTATTGTTAAAAAACTAAAAATATGACATTAATCCCCTCTTTATTATTATTATTATTATTATTATTATTATT